AGGGGTTTAAGAGTTTCGGGTTTAGGGTTTAGGGTTTAGAAAAACCCCCCAAACACCCCCCAAAAAGCCCCTACCGAAGCACTGAACCCTAAACCCCTCGAACCCTATGCCCTAAACCCTGAACCCTAAACCCTAAACCCACTGAGCCCTGACTAAAGTCCGACGGGCCAAGCATCTCCTGGGCCCTGGTGCAGTAACGGCGGTTGAAGGTTCCAGGGTCCACCAGCGCCTCTCCTGGACGGTCGAGCGGAAGCGGGGTGAACCTAAACCCTAAACACTAATTCCTAAGGGCTTAGGGTTTAGGGTGTAGGGGGTACCTTATTTTGGGGTCCTTTATAAACAAGGATCCTACTATTTAGGGCACTTGTTTTTAGGGTCAGGATGAACCTAAAAACCTAAAGCCTGCCCGGGCCTATGCAGCCTATGCTTTGAAGTCCCTACACATGCTTTCGGGTTCTTCTCCGCCTTTGTCGTTCAGGGGGACGTTCCGCTTGCACCCTGTGTAGGGGAAGCGAGAACCATCTGGGTGCGGCTGTTCTCGTGCGCTGCTTTGAAAAAATTGCCTAACAATGCAAGCACTACCTAAGCGTTTGAAACGTAATGTCATGTCATGTTACAAACAGCGTGCCCTGAGAACCCACGACCCCTCAATTCAGGAACACAACTCAAGTTCCGATAACCATCCACATGTAGGTTCGGATGCATTTCTGTTACATTGAACTGCATTCTTGCATAACTCTATCATACTATGCTTTCTGATATTTAGTTGTGTATGATGATTGACAGCTCTCAACAGCAGAGTAACATATCATGACAGTCTATTATGACTGTATCATATTATAGTTTCTGATATTCAGGTGTGTATGATGCTTGACAATTATCAACAACATGTGAATAATAATCATATTATCGGAATATGTAAAGATTATTGTTACACCGCTACTACAATTACTCGGAATATCGCCATTACTATCACTGCTAATACTACTATTCTTATTAGTATGATTATGCGGAGAAAGTTTTATTATTGCTCATTGTCATTATTATGTGTGTTCGCAAGCTGACTGTTGCTGTTAACATCGTTTCCGTTCTTTCTATTATATGGCAGATCTCTGATATGATATGATGTTGTACTATGTAAGGATCGCATTATGCTCTACTCTGCTATGTTGTTTTGTTCTATACTATTTTCAGAAAACCTCGTTTTATGAAAGCAGCAATTCACTCCGAACATGTGCTGCACATGATAATTACCACTAATTCAAACATCAGGCGGAAGCACGCTATAACACAGCTCCTTCGAATTTCACGGGTTTCGTCTGCGACTGGCCTCCCATCCTGCAAATTCCTGCAGGTTTCCTGTGTCGTCTTGTTAACTGATCCAGTTCCAGGGGTCGTTTAACTGGAACGTCGAAGTCCTCCAAAGATAAAACAAGTTCTGAAGCGTAGAGTTGGGAGGTTCGGGGGTACTGGTGTCTGTAGAATCTCGAATCTTTCGTATGTCGTCGAAACTGTACACTGCAACATAGCTCAGCAATGTGAAGCCCGGCTTTGCCACATAGACTCCTTTGCCCACGCAGCGGCAACTGTCTTTTCTCGGCGTCAGCGTGAAGTCGAAGGCATACCCACCGGCGCCGAAGCCTTTCTTAAAAGGTCGAGGTCCACGATTTGAGAAAGCTTGCAAGATGAGGAGCGTACATTCTCCGTGTGTCCTAAGACCTACAAGCGAAAAGAGACTCGCTGCGGAGATCCGACGTGTAGTTGCTGCCTAGCTGCCCTAGCTATCTTAATGTTGCAGTTCTACCACTGCGACCTGAGCCGATGCTTTTCTCGGTTTATCCTTGCTACTGAAACATGGCCAAAGACACAGGCGCCGGCACATGCAGCCTCGGTAAGGTAGCTCCTCTCAAAGATGTAGGGCGGCTCCTCCATGGCTGTTGCTTAGACCCGAAAGCATTCGGGATTTGAGGGTTTCGGGTGTGATCAGAAAGAGCTTCGGTTCACGGTATCGAAATTACGCCTGAAGAAAGGAAGGCATCGGACTCAATGACTTCTCGAATCTCCTGTTAAGCTCTTTCTGCAGTTTCTTTGGTAGATTGGAAGATCATGCTTCCGGAAATCAGTGTATCCCAACCGACAGACCCTCGCCCCAGTAACCATGAATATGTGTCCAACATCAAAGTAGGATCTATGTAGTATAGTATATGGTCTGCTCTGCTCTGTGCGAACCTTGCTCTTGCCTTTCGCAACGTCTATCCCAGATGCAGCCGAGCTTCAGCTTGCCCAGCGATGCCTCAGCTGCCAGCTCCAACTGCTTCTCGCGGAGTTCACTTTTAAGCTTTAGGGTTTTAGGGTTTTAGGGTTTAGGGTTTAGGGTCTGGTTCACAATGGTTTTGGAAGGCTGCTTCTTGCCGCTAGCAGCAGTTCAGTTTGTACCCCGGGAACCCAATGCCCCGTGTAGTTGAGAACTACTCCCTAAACATTATGTAGAGGGATGTTCAATACGTTTAAAGGTATATTGATATTGCTCAGGGCTGTCCGGGCAAACCGTGAAGAGCAAACCTGCCAGTCAGCACAGCCGAGACACACTCGACGGATTGGGCACGTCGCGTGCAGAAGCTGGATGTCCTTAACTTGTCGCACGGGAAGTTTGACACTAGATGCTTCACAGCAGCATAACATGAATATGCTCAAGCTTAATCGCAAGACATGCGCAAATCAACAATAATGCCGTAATACTAGACGCATCATCCTGTCAAGCTGTTGCACATACAGAACATACAGAACTTGTAGGTCAGATAGATGTCGACGTATGTAGCCGGCAGCTTTATATTTCATAGTTGACCAAGCAAGCAGTCGTAGGGGTCGTGGTTCATACATGTTCGATATGAGCACAGCCAAGCCCAGGTTGTCCCATTTCCACCATTATCCTCTCTTCTTTTTGAATACAGAAACCACTGCAGCCAGTACGTCAACCTATGCGAGAACGACTAAAACTCCCCCAACCTATCCTCCGAGCGTCGCGGAGGCCTGGGGCAGCTCTGCATCGCGGGAACAGCGACAGGTGCCATCTGCGCTGAAGTCCAGGGCAAGGCCCCGCAGGTTTCCTTTTGGGGAGTGCGCCCGGATGGGTCAGGCCGGTGGAGGGACGTCGAAGTAGCAGCAAAACGTAGTAGCAGTGGTGGCGGCAGTCGTGCTGGTGGCAATAGCAGCAGCAGTCCCAGTGGCAGTGCTGGTGGTAGTAGTAGTAGTA